AACAAAATAGATATAAATATCATGCTATTGAATTCAAATACGTAGCAATTTCTGTTGTTGTAAAAAACTAAAATATTTGTTTTGCATAGATACACTATGGATTATGCATAATAATATTATATGGTCCTGCATCAAATAAATAGTTAATTTATTTAACATATATTTATGTGTAACCATACAATTTACTCATTAAATTTACAGTGTATTAATTATGAAATACAATATTATATCATAACATTGAGCATTACTGGTCATTTTAAAATATTGTTTTTTATTTATTATTATGTATTTTTGAGTAAATGTATTTAAATCTAACCTCAGATTTGTGTTTAACTTGTTATGTGTATATTATAAAGGACAGTTTATGTAAAAACAAATAGCAGGGTACATCATTGACATTTGTTTGATCTATTTAATAATCTATTCATATGGCCGTCGAAGAACTTTTCTGTAACTATTTCACATTACATAGTTGCAGAATTATTTATACTGCATGAAACCCAGAAAAATTATGCTGATTTAAAATGTATGATATCTTAGTTATTTATTAACAAGATTATGAAATTAAAATGTACCAATATGTTATTGATATTGTAAAAAAAAAGGGAATTATTAATTTATTTTCTTTTATTTATGTGAAGTGTGTTAATATGTATTTTAAAATTTATATTTATCGAGTATTGTAGGTATAGGTGCAGGGGGGTGTGGGTGGCTCTGCCCCATACAAACTCTGATGCATTCACAGATTTAGCACCCTGTATTTTAGAGGTCTAGTTGTGCCATTGCATATAGATAACTTAGAAAACGATAGTTTCGTTGAAGAACCCATAGGTTCAGATACTGAACAAAATTTATAAACAGTTGAACAAGAAGCGATTTCACAAACAATAGTTACTGAAGATGCAGAAAATGAAAAATTCTAGTAATGAACCATTATTTAAAAAACCAAGAACAAACCGAAAAATGTTACCCAGTGAAAGAGTGGTGGAACCGATGTTGGAATTTCTAAAGACAAGAACTCAACCAAAAAAAATTAATGAGGATACACCTGAACTTTTTTTTAAGTACCTATTATTTAAAGTATTTAAAATTAAATGATAAAAATCAACGTAAATTCAAAAAAATTGTATTAAATACCATTGATCAGCTTCTCGATAGCCAAGAAACGCCGTATGATGTATGAAATGCCAAAATACAAAATGCGCCACATTCTAATATTATACCTCATTTATCATTTAAATGCAAATCATTAACCGCAGCAATTTAATGCAATATAGTACATTGCGAGTTCTCCAGATTTCTCCTCGTCGGATAGTTCAAGTTCTTATATTTTGCATTAATACAGTTGATTTGTCTTCATAATAAATTATCATTTTTATATTGTGAAAAATTAAGTATAATTAAGTATAAGATATAACCTCATTAAGTGTTAACTCATTTTATTATAATAATATTATAACAATAAACAGTAATACGTTCAAGAGAATTCGCAAGTCTAAAAGAATTTTTTTTATTCTACCTGCTATTTTAAATTCTGAGTGGAGTGAAAAAATGAAAATGTAAAAAAAGTTGGACAAGTGGGTACCGCTCTGCTGTTTAGTAGTTGTCAAGCATGTTGTTGTAATGGGTATGTTATAATTTAATTCAATGATAAATCATTGTATAAGATAAACGAAAATTTTTTTTAAAAAACACATTATTGTAAAATCAATACATTATTTCGCCATGCTCCACTCAGAATCTAATATCTAATTATTTAGAATTTGTTATTAACTTACCTCAATGTCACCAATAATTTCTCTTCTGGAGTGATATTTTTTCTGAAATTAGTATCAGGTTTTCGAATTTCTTCGTTAAGTATTTCTAGAATATAATCAAACGTGTCGGTATTCATTCGTGTAAAATTTCTAAATTTACATTCGTAATTTCGAAGTTCATGAATAAAACATTTAATTGTATTATTTTCAGTTCGTTTCAAGTTCATTTGAACTTGAACCCAAAGTTTTTTTTTATTTTCTTCCTGTTCAATTTCTTTTAAAAGAAACCTTAACATAGGAATAGTAACGTCCTCCTTGTCGGACGACATTTTGACGAATACTTTATATACTTTGATTTGACTAACTATGTTTTATCTAGTGTGCGACAACAATGCTTTATTATGACTAAACAAAATGACTAAATATGACTTACATTTCTTCAGTCAATTTTGCTTTACTAGTATGTGGTAATCCTAAATATATAGTGAGGGGTAGTAGTATAATATATACTTAGATATATAGCTTATGCCTTGTTGTACATTGTCCGTCAAGATAGGCACATCATCACTTCGAGATGTTTTACGGTAGCCCGTAATGCTGTCTTCAAACTCGAAAATCTCGTAATCATCTGATAGTTATATTTAATTAATATTTAAGTCACATATTATAGATTAAACTACGACAGTGACTTACTTAATGACGAGGTACCTATTACCTACACTCGACACCTTCTAAGCAGCAGAGCGGTTACCTATACTTTCCCACTTTTTTGACTTGAAATTTTACAAAATGTTATCACTATTTTGCAGCTAATTGTAACTCAATAATTGAGATTCTTGACTTAACTAAAATTCCGTAACAATTTTTTTAAGTTGGCCAAGTACCAACATCAATACATTTCTATGACACCGGACGTTTTATATACCCTGTCTTTCACTCGCATATACGGTATATTATTTGCTTGTGTATTATTTTTTATGTTGACACTGTAAGTAATAAATAATAGTACGGTTTTAAAATAGTTATGTAAATACGTTATAGCACCGATAGTAGGGATAAGCCTTTGCGCAGTATTATTGTCTTCCTTGTAAGCGTGCGGACGGTAATATTATTATGCCAGTGCCATTTATTTTCGTAGTATAGAAACTTTTCAATTACCGCCACCGACTACATTTCACAGATAGCGCTGCTGCATACAAATTCTGTGTTTTATATTTGATTTTTAAATTTCTCACTTCCACTCCAAATTGAAGGTCTATGATGATGTTTTCATATGTTGTATAACCACCGACGAATTACATTACTCAGACATGAATACATGATACACTGATTAATTACATCTTGGTTATAGAGTGGTTGAATTGGGAAAAAATAAGGATGGATTCTGGACTTGATTTTTAAAAAAGTGTTCCCAAAAGTTGAAATACATCATCAAAAGTTATATCATACATCTTAAATATATATAAACAGTCGTTATAAATTAAAAATATTATTTAACTCATGAATCTAAAAATTATAGTACAACAAATTATTTTATAAAGGTTTATATAAGCAACAGATAGTGAAGGCCATAAGTCATCGGCAGGTTACAAATTAATGGTAAAAAAAAATACGAAAATTATCGAATATAATTTTTTTTTACTTTGTTTAAGAAACAAATTTGTAAACGACGATTAAAACGAAATAAAATAAGGACTAAGGAACATTTATCTTAATTAATTAACATTATTTTTAAATAACTATTTATAAATTACCAACGTATTACCAATTTGTCCTACCCCTTCCGAGAATATTTATAGTTTTATTCATTTTATCAACTGGTGGACAAACAGAATTTATGAGGGTTGACGAAGAAATGTGCTCTGAACTTGAGGTGGATATTTATTTTTAGAGATAAAATCTTCATTTTCATTGAATTAAATGGTCTCTCACCCTCTGGGTGATTCACTTGAGTATAGTATAGTATTGTACCTAGTATATTTCAATATATTGATACGCACATGATGCTTATAAAAAATTTTATTTTATAGTTAATAATATTCAAATAAATGTAAAAAATAAATAATAATAATAAAATATAACAAATTTGACAAAAAAACACATTTTTTTTTACAAATTATTCAACCTACACATTAGCTATAACTCCAAATTCCAATATTGTTCTCGTACACTTCCAGACCACTGTATGGCATTCAAATTCGTACCCTTTAATAATGTTATTAAGGGAGACAAGTGATAGTTACCTTGGCATATTTTACCTACAACTTAATCATATTATTTAAACGATAAAAAATACTATTAAATATTTAAGTTTAATTTATCAGTATAATTATTTGTAATGTTTTAATACTAAAATCTTAAAAATAAATCTTAAATCTTTTTAACTAAATACTAATGGGTGATACATTATTAGTAAAAAACTACTACGAACACTTAGGTTGGCTATTTTTATTTATGTTTTTATTACATTTTTATGTTGACAAGTATTTTTATTTTTTTAACAAACATTTTTGGAAACATTTTCTGAAGTAGTAAAACAGCTTCCAAGACTAGGTATTAGGTGTGTAATGTAACTTTAGATATTGAACATTATTTTATTACTTTAAAAAGGTCAATTAAATTTTTATTCAGTAGCGAAGAAAAATAATAACAGCTATGTTCTTGTAAAAAAATAGTTATTTTAAAAATTACAATTTAAACATTGTCATTTTTCAAAATAAAAATTTAAAATTGTTATGTACCCGGTTTTTTTGATCGGTCACACTTCACAACACTCGTGCATACATCCGACGTTGCTTAGGGATTTTCCAAGCGAAAAATGAGAGTAATAGCATAATAATAATAGTTTACCTATAATATTATGGGTGTTGTACATGGTAGCTTAGATGTAGTATAATATGTACGTTGGCGGTATTGTTGATTGTAACTTTAAAGCTAAGTACCTGTTTCGACATGAAGTGTAAAGGAATTTTAAGATTTTTTGTGTGTATTCGTATTTAGTTTATTTAGTTACTTTTTAAGAAATTATAAAAATAAATGAAAAGCCGTTAAAAATCAAAATCTGTGTTATAATTTTATTTTTAATACTAATTTATTAATATTATAATAATTCATAATTGCGTTTCAAATTGATTGGGGGTTGCAAATATGGGCGGGAGTTTCGTCGACGCAGCACGCCAGACTCCTCGTTGACTACCGAAGCTGTACAACTAACGCGCGCGGTACTTTGAAATATCCACGGTTTCAGTGTGCTCGGTGTTTTCGACTCGGTCGCCCGATTTTCGAGTATCGCGTGCGCGTAGTTCGTGAATTTCAAGTTTATCGTAATTTTGTTTTTTCGTTTTGCTTATTCAATATACATATTATATAAAATGGTGTGTATACCTATATATTTCATAAATATGATGTGTCATAAAAAAAACTACTACTTACGTACTATGTAATAAGCCATTTGTTATAATTTGGGGGATAACATGAAAGTATATATTAATATTTTGTAAATAAAACTTGCATGTGTATTTTAATTATAATGTAAACCAAAGTTCATGTTTTTTAAAAACATTTTAATTAGTAACGTTTTCCATTGTTTTATTTTACAACAGATAATTTTAAGAGTTATAAATTCTAAATGATAAATGTGTTAATAGGTAATTATTATTTTATATTGTATATAATACCTATATACGTACTCGCACTTTTAAATATTTTACTAAACAAAAGTATTTCAATCTAAAACATGTAAGCATGGAATTTGCAATATTCTTACACAATTACACGTAAATAAAAATAAAATGTTTTACTTTTGGTATTACCTAACATTGCTAGCTAATAAATATAGGCCATAGCACAGCATGGCACATGGTAAATTAATACATATGAATAAAATACTATATGCATGATCTACTTAATATTTTCTATACTAAATTTGTATTATTTACCTACCACAATTATTATTTTACTAGTATAAGTTAAAAAAATTTAGTTAGTTATATACTTGATTTATCATTTTAAAAAAACTATTAATTGTCAAAAGTTATTTTAAAATACATTTTTAAAAAATATGGTCCGGACAATAAGCTTTTGCTAATTGAAACTAAAAATTAAAAATTCAAGGTATATTATATTAATATTTATCTTCTTTTCAATTTAATAACTAATAAGTAATAACTACAATAATATAAAATATACCATGGTTCATTTAGTTGAACATCCAAAAGTGGAGATGCGTCATGTGTCTTATGCAGCATTGTTTTCTTTTTAAATAAACCAAAAGTTTTCTATGGTTTGCGTATGTGACCTAGTATTTGGATCGACTAACTTCTTGTTGTGATTCACTGTCTCTCGAGTATATCTATAATTTTTCAAAAAGAATAAGGCCTCCACAGATCATTGCAGTATAAATATAGTTGAACCACTTTCTACTTCTCTCCTGATAATGGTTATAACTATTTGATAATTTTGTTTTGGAACAATAAAAAAATCTTTAGTTCAAAATGCTTCCACCTCGAAAATATAATCCAAATATCCATAACCTAACCTTGAATACGATTTCCTTAATTTTTTTACTCAAATCATCAATATATCCTCCTTCTTATCATTTTCTGGAGCTCTGTCTTCAAGTCGTAAGCGTCCACTATGGTGCCATACATTTCCCCAGAAACAGGGATTCGTCAATTTATACTATAAATCCAGGACTGCCCATTTAATTAATTTTGTTAAATGTATGAACGGCCACATCTCGACATAGATTAAACCAATCAACCACTGTATGGGTACATAAGCATAGCTAGGCATATATTGGGTGGGCACTACAATTATGTATATCTTACTAAACTGTTTGGTGTTTCACCTCACACATGCATTTAAAAGCTATTAATAACAAATTAATGTACATAACTTAAACATTATTATTTATTTGTAAAGGTATTAGCTAATATATTAAATTTACAAAGTAAATTATTGTCTTATTGTCTTATTATTACAATGTAATAGTATTCAAGTAATAACCAATATAACAAAATATACAAAAACATACGTTTGATATTGGTTAATTAGAATATAATGTATTATTTTAAAATTATTTTCCTTGTTTTTGTTCTATACTTATCTAACACTGATTCTGTTTTTATGTTATTTGCAACATTTCTTTCAATATTTTAAATGGACAATCCATCAAACCGTTCTGTAACATATTATCCTCAACCAATTTTTAATTTGCTGCATAGGTATTGGTACTTGAAAAATTGCGTTCATATTTTGTAGAACTTATTGGAATTGTAACTAAAATCTGAAATAACTTGTTTAATTTAGAAAAATTTCTTTTCTCACATTATTTTTAGCGTCTTATATAACATGGTGTCAGAGAATGCTGAATTATAGCTTGACGGTATTGAATCACTCACAATCGACCCCCCCCTCAAGGCTTATGTATAATTGTATAGGCATTGCACTTCTATACAATCGGTCCAAATACTTGTGTTTCAGGTACACTGATGCGAAATAACACAAATACCAACTCAATTAACTGTGTTATTAAGATCAGTTAATGGAATAATAACCGTTGTCTATGCCCAATGGTTAATATGTTTGTCAGACTTTTTAATACAATTCAGTTACTAGCATTTTAATTATTGCATCTGAATCTTTTTTTCCCAATTTCTAAGAGTTTATTTTAAATGTTCTTCTCGAATGACATTGTCTTTTATTTGCATACATGTCACGTTACTTATTACATTATTATCCAGTTATAACCTTTTATTTTCCAAATTATAATAATAGTACCTACTTACATTTAATTTCCTCGCTATTTTTATTTTGATACAAATAATGAAATATAAAAAATAACTTATTGTAGAACTGTAGTCCGTAGATGACATTTTCATATACTAAAATAGATAGAAAATAACAGCTTGGTTATTTCACATATCATCGAAAGTTAGAAACTGATGATTATGTATTCTTACTGAGTATACATAATATTATATCGTGATAACGTAAAAATAAGATGAATAAAGAAACGACTCTTATCAATAGGTATATTAAAATTTGATATTACAGATAAGAATCTGTATGATTCTCCATTCTCTATACTAATAAGTGCTGGAGAATAATATCGGATGGAACCATTAAAATCACGCTATTTGGTACCTTCTTCCAGGTGTTTGGAGGGCTCTCGAGGTCGAGTATATTTGAGAATTTGATCAAATACATCTTACAATGTAATTTTATGTAAAATATGCACATAGGTAATATTAAATGTCTTAAATGACTCACAGCTACCTATTTGCTATGTCCTAGCTGTACCTGTACTTAATAAGGTGACACAAAGTAACTACCCAAAATACGAGAATTGCAATAATAAAACTAACTGATTATTGCTCATCAAAAGGAGTCCAGTTGTCACTCGCAGGATTCGGTATTGGGAGGTTTTTACTGAGATGACTGGGGCTCATGCACTAGTTAAAGAGAAAACACGGATAAACTGACCAGAGAATAGCAAGCGGCTGTACCAAAGGTTTTTGAGCATCTAAAAATTAGATGTCTCTTCGGCGGCAAAGACCTTTTTCGACCATTCCTTTTCTGTGGTGGTATATAAGAAAGCCACACACCCAACGTTTTACGGCAGCAAGTACTTACTGATTTCTTAATTCGTGTTCGTTTAATACAGATCGTCCCTTTTTGTCGGTGACAATGGTTTTATTGTGGTTCTCCGATTTCTACGTTCGACAGTCAGCTGTCCGTTGTTTATTAGTCTGTTATATTTTAGTATATATTTTGTTATAATGATGTGTGAACATATCATTACAATATTGTGTAACTATATGTTTTGAAAATAAGTTTTTGGTTTTCATCATTATTACTATCAAAATATAGTAAACACCTATACAAATATCATGTGTGTATGTACGATGTACTGATTAGTCTGCTATTGAAAAATAAAATATTTACAGATGCCTACTTATTTATAAACCAAGTACCGGTAAATCACTTGCTCTATAACATTGATCTTAACAGTACCACCATTATAGGTACAAGTTACCAGATACTAGTCTCGATTATTTTTTGAATTAAATTTAGTTTAACCGCAAGGTAGATTTAGAAATTCACCCGGTTTTATCGATAGAGGACCCCACAAAGATGTGCTCTCATTATTATCAAATTAATTGGCACGGGCAACGGTGGCGGGCGGAACAGTTAGTTTAATATAAAATTAAAATTATTATTTTATAACAGCTAGTGAACATACAAATATAAAACTAATGATTTTAAGTAAAGTACATAAATTATTTTTAGTCATATATTATAGGTACATCACGGTTGTATCTGTGTATCAATGTACAATGGAGTTACTTCCCTGTAAGTCCCGCAAAATATCTAGAACACAAAAGTTTAGGTATTATTTATTTTTATATACTACTTTTAACTCAACACCACAAATCTATTACAAAATATATTCGACAAAGCACAACCATATTATAGAATATTGATTATAGTGTCATTTTAAAATATGTTTATACTGACATACTGTTATCAACAATACAAATATGAATGACGAAAGTGTCCAACTATTCAGTTTATTAATTATTCGATTATTTTGTACCATGTTATTGACAAAAAAATAATTAATAATGGATTGGCTGTGACTACTATCTTATCAAAGTCTTACTAAAAATAAAAGCCTAAAAGGCTGCAATTTATTTTTTAGTGCTCAAGAATTAATGGGTAAATCCATGGTATTGATTAATTCAGTACTATATTATTGAAATGATGGATTTGATCCATAGCTTTTAGATAAGAGGTATTTTATTACCTCCAACTTCTGTTATACTCTGACCATTTCTGTTAAAGCTAGACATTCAATAAATTTAAGTGTTTCCTTTACCACTTAACAATTAAAATTTTTTCTATTAATCAATAAGTAGTATCTAAATACGAATTAATATGTTTATTCATATTTATATAAGTAACAAAATTCTTCCAGCTATACTTTTTTAAATTATATAATTTATATTAATTATTCATTAGGTTTATCTCTAATTTATATAATATTTAATTATTATCCTGATAATATAATACTTATACAATATACATAAGTATTACTATAGGTACTTACTTGAGAAGTTCTTAGAGTACCTACCTAAATAAAAAAATTAATTTTAGCTTTTAGAAATGAAACAAAAATTTCTTATAAAGAAGATAGATTTAATGGGAAAAATAAGTTTTTTTTCTCAAAAATATGTTCATCAATTGTTATAATTAATTTTTACTTATAAATAATATTGAAATTGATCATATAGTGTTATAAAGGCAACACATAGAAATGATTTAGGTACTATAAAATGATTGAAGCAATAAATAGTTCACCCTGGATGTACCACTGATTTCTAAAAAATAAATATGTACCTAGTGAGATATGTTAAAATCTTGATATATTATATCGTTGGTATTTTTTATTTTATTCATTAACCAGCAGCAACATAGGCAATTCGGTGATTATTATTAGTAGGTTTTTAGCTGTTGGGGAGGGTACGTATGGTTGGTTTGTAACACGTGTATGTGTGGCAAAGATTTGTTACTAAGAACCCGGGTGGTCACTCATCCGGGAATAAGTGGCACCTGTCGGTGCTGGCACTCGGATCACATTTTACGATTGAAGCTATAGAGTATAGACACTGCGCCACACTAAGCCACAGTTGGTATTTTTATAAGGTATCATTATTTATTTACGATGAAATGTTGATTTTTATTTAGATAACTGTGCAGCATATGCAATATTTATTTTTCAAACAGATAAGATTTTTATGATTATATAAAAGTAAAACTCTAAAAAAACACCGAACAAGATTCAGAGATCAGGATTTGGGCATTTGTCTAGCTTCTTTCAATTCAATGTAACTCAATACACCACGTATTACTTTTAAATAATCGCAATTAAAAAATCTGATTTTAAGTATAGTCTTCTTTATTTTAACTGTCTATATAAAATATAATTTTAATTTTTTAAGTTTGCAGGTGCTCATAAAAATGAATGATTAGAGGTTTGGAGCATTAATAATTTATTGTTATAATAAATACGCGTGTATAAATGTTAAAACCTAAAATCTTAAATCTCCTAAAATAATAAATAACTTAACTTAGGTAGGTAGGTTAGGTTAGGTACAGAAATTATATTTGTTTGTGTTTTTCTTAAACGACAATAATTTACCGTTACCAAATAGAAGAAGTAAAAATAATTTAAAAATTGTTTTAAATTACATTTTGTTAGTTAATAAGATGTTATTAAAATTATGTACATTCGAGTCTTGATACCTAACTTGAATCTTATAAGGAAAATACAAATACAATTGATTTATGTATTTTTTGAGTTGTATTGCTCAAACTGAAAAGTCAAACACAACTTAAAAACACACTTTAAGGCGCGAGAAAAAATATGAGTAATCGAGGTTTGAGTTTCTCGAGATTCAATTGTATTATAAATGAGTAGCGTAGGTAATTTGTTCACATTGCCATTGATAGAAATTGTTTTGAAAACATTATGTTTTAAATCAATTTTATGGTGGTATAGATTTTTTATTGTAACCATATGTTTGAACTTAGACGTATCCAATGATCAATGGTACTTTTTGGATTTGTGTTTATTAATACATTATACATATTGTCCTCGTAGCTTGTGAGCGAAATAGTAAAATACCTTCTACTAATGTAACACATAAGAGGGGTGGAAAATCTTTTTCAGGCCAAGTGTCAAAATTTAAAAACAAAATTTTTAAAATATAATTGAGTGCAGCCCCCCCAAAAAAGATTTTTTATTATTGACAAAAAAAAAGTAAGCAAGAAATACTATAAACATTTTATTTAGTTTTTGTTTTATAAAATACAGACAAATTATTATCAGAGATGTCAAGAAAAATATTTTAATTAGTTTTGACGTGCCATTGAAATTTGGCCAACGTAACATTTCGGGAATTCGTGCCAACCCAGGTACAACTTGATCGGGTAATCGACCTATCTTTTTAATAAACATGTATTGCTTTATTCAAGTCATAACATGCTATATATCATTAGAAAGAACAATACCTAAAAACTATCTAAACATCTATAAATTTGTTTTAATTTTCAAAAAATTAAATTTTTTAACTCATTTTAAATTTTAATTCATATAAGTAATAACTAACCAGCTATTACTTAAATAAATTACATGAGTCATTATTACTTACTACACTATCGGTTTATAGTTTTATACAACATTTGTTTATCCCTGTTCTACAATTAAATTAAAAATATGAAATCAATTTTCCATAAATATATTATTATGATCTGTTAAATGAATATTTAAAAAAAGTTCGATAAATGGTTATTACTTCCAATTTATACCTATTGTTTACGCCTCTACGGTTTGAGTTACATCATTTATTAAAATATATGATCACGAGAGCATTATAATGATTATTAAATTATAAAGCTGTCAACTTCATTGTTTGGTTGTATATTATATATGTATACCTTGTAAAATGAATTGTTCTATGTACTTGAATTAAAATAATATTTTAATATTGTTAACTAAGCTATAGAATACTCATTAATTATTAATTATGTTTAGTTGTATTCATACCAGTTTTATCAAAATATTTTGGGATTTTACATATTATGTGTTTTGTAATATAGTTTCAATTAAAAATCAGATGTAGCTGATGCTATAATCTATATAGTTTTTTTTTTATGATTAAATATTGATAATCTTTATTTAATAAGCAAATTATGTGTAAAAGATTGTAAGAATATAATAGGAAGTGGTTGTTGTGGCGTGAGCTATGGAAGCCTCTATAGTGAGACGTAGGTACCTTGAAGGTATGTTATTGCAAAACAAAACAAACTGGAATAAGTCCTAGGAGTAGGGTGGGTTTACTTCCATAATTACTCGTTAAACCTACCCATAGCTCGTAGATGTGAATGGATTCATAGTATAAAATAGCTTTAAATTAATTTAAATTTTTTGAAAATGTTGTTCTTTTTTAGGTGATAATAACAAAATAACAATAAATCGTATACTTTTGTTTACATTTTGTCGATATTTAAAAAAGTTGTTGTAACTATGTGTATTTTTAAATTGTTAAGTATAAGAACAACTAGTGGAACAACAATTTTCAAGCTTTATACCCCCTGAAGAATTTTGTTTTAAATATATCGATATGAAACTTAAAAAGTAGTACATTTTTAATGTTTAATGTAAATAGCTTACAATTATAAGTCTAAATATTTTGGAAATCTTGTTGTGTTTAAAAATTGATTATTAGAAAATTACTGGGTTATTTTTACTTGTGATCACGGTTTATATCATAATTTTATTATTTATTATTTTCTAAAAATAGTTAGTTGTAATTTTATTATACATTTTAAATATTTCTTATATTTATAGATATCTAAGATCATTTTCTGACAAGATACAGCCGAACCATTAAAATCGCTCAAAATAGTCTAAATGATATTTTTCTTACATACGAGTTAATATATAGAAAGACGTTAATGTATTAATATCTATTAATATAAATACCTGCATAATCAGTGCATATTTATGTATAAATAATACTTAATATTAAAAAGTTATCTTACTAGTAACGACTTTACAGATTACAATATATTTTGATTAGTTGACTGTACCATATTATTCAAAGTTATAAACTGTATTTTTTTTAAATTACTTTGTTTCAGAAATAGTTTAAACTCAAATTTACGATGAATATCACTTCTATAAATAACGTGAGTATAAGTAAACTTAAAATTTGAAAAACTGTAGCTTATAAAGAAGTAGAGATTTAGTTATATCTATTTAACAATTTTTTAATTGTTGTTGAGGTAGGTATATTTAGCTCATTACATTTTTTAACTAAGACAAGGGCGTCCGTGGGGGGTGCTGGGGGCCATGCCCTTTCTTTTTAGTTAATTATTACTAGTTTTATCACTTGTAGAAAAAAAATAGTATGTACTGTATTATTAGAGATCTTTTACTTTACCCCAGGTATATATTTCTGTGGGCGCCCTTGAATTAAGCTGAAAATCACACTAAAAGTTAACACTAATTTTTATACATGTATTCAGGGGGATTCAAAATTTATGTTACTTATTACTTTGCTTACAATATTTTAGGGGGAATCAACTTCCAATTCAAATGGGAACCTATACTTTTTTTGCAATCATAATGTGAAGACATTTTTAAATACATTTTAGTGCACGAACGACATTAATAAATGCAAAACTCTATGCTTGGAAATATTTAAAAAAAGTTTAGGTTTCCATTTGAATTTCTAAAGTTGATCCCTCAAAACTTGAAGGTCGTGATACAGATATTGGGATACGATGCAGTATTTTAAGTTTAAGTTCTAAGTATCGTTTCATGATGCAAAATAATTTTGACAATAAGTAAGGGATACAAATTCTGTACTATAAATGTTTTATAAATATTTAAATTACTATTACTGTAATATATTATATATATAAATACAAAATGTATAATCATCCTTATGTTTACTAATGCCTACAATTTTTGGGGAAATATCTATTTAGACTTGTCTGCCCGAAAAAGTACTAAATCCTGGTTGGTGTCCTAGTCACTGGGATCAATTATTATGCTGGAGAACTTCAAAACCTGGTGCTGTAGTTTACCAAGCTTGTTTTGATGAACTGAACGGAGTGCGTTATGATACATCACGTAAGTAACTTTATTCAGATTTGTCTTATTATTTGAGAAAGCCTGTATTCATTATATAATGTAATGGCATTTTATTTTTTGTTTTATTCATATGTTAATGGACTTTTCCATCAATTAAAATGTTAATACATAAGAAATATTTAATAAGTTTCTTTTTATTCCCTTAATGTATTTTAAATGACATTTTTTAGGTATCCCATTAGTCAAATGTAATATTGTTATAATAATAAATTAACTATACATTTATAGATACGTATAGGTTTATGTACAAACACATATTTGAATGAAAAAATATTATGATGAAAAAATAACATGCACCTACCTAAGAACTAGGTACCCAGTAAAAGTTAGGTAAAATTGTATAACACTTATATAATTTATTATTCTATAACCAATAATCATGTAGATAATTTCGTATTATCCTGATAAATATAAATTATTTTATCTACAATTTATTTATTAAAATGACACACGGATGTACCGCGCATATTATACCTCGTGATATAAAGTTTTAAATATAAAATATCTAATAGATAATTTATTATGTGTTAAATAACATGTATTACTAATTTGATAGGACGCTTAAAATATGTACCAAATATATTATTTTGATTAGACACTCAATACTTAATAAACTTAAATATAACGGATAGAATTTCAGTAAATTAACTATACATCTAGTCATAGTCTTAATATAGTATGATTTCTAAATATTAAAATTAACATCAATTAAATATTACTATAGTGAAAATATAGCTCATTTAGAGATGAGAGAAATATCGGCAAGAACTCTAAAAATACATTTTTCATCTATGTTTTTAAAATTATTTTTCCTGATTCGTATAATGAATTAGCAACTTCCGTGCACTTACCCGTTAAAAATGGCAACCCTATGTGAGACTCGCTTGTGATAATACGAGCCGTATATTATCAGGTAGGAGATCAATTTGCGGTGGATTGTAGGTGCATATGTAGTCCCGTGCACTTCGTTGCTCATTCAAAATGAGAACTCTATATGAATCATTCATTTTATTAAATTTTTTATTTTGATTACGGATACACCGATGAGTGGCTATAACTGCAACTCAGCAACCTTATTAGACAATGTGCTAAAATTCGATTTAATGAATTCTTTGACTAAAAAATAGAAACTAATTTTAAAAAAAAATTTCTTATTTCTTCTTATTATTTCTCTAACAACCAACAGCAATAATTTATGAACAAAAATTTCCTTTGTAAATCTGAAAATCCCTGTTTGAGCAACCCTCCGGTTGACGGACTTACCGGATCCAAGTTTGAATCTAAATCATCCAGGTAATCACTAAAACTCACACAAAACATATCATCAAAATCGGTTCAGCCATTTTGTCAGGCATAAGAGACATATTGACTTACAGACATAAAGACATACATTCATTTTTACTTACCTATATAGACAGTAACATTTTGTTTAGTTTTGAATTAAAAGACTTTAAATAATATTTTATAGTTAAAATTAGGTTATTTGATAACCTTTATTTGTTTTAAAAAGAATATAAGTAAGTAGTAAGTTGTTTATCCCTTTGAACTTCAGTGGTTGAAATGTAGATCGACAGATCGTACATGACATAAACAAGACGAATAACATTATAATTTATATGAGGATTACTGAATACTTAGCTCAGATTGTGTTGTGCTTTGTGGTTGTTCCAACATTGTACTTATAATATTACTGCTGCATCTAAGTAATTATTTGTTAAATAATATAAATACGCAACCAAATTATTTATCTTAACTTCCAATATATTGACGTTTTACATAATATCGTGTAAGATAGGGGAAACAAATGTTATGTTAAAATGGCAAGTATAAAATAATTTATAACAACGCAAATAACTTAAAATAATATATTTTGATTGTATTTGAAATTTTGAAATGTTTTAATGCAGACATTCACAACTATTGTAGTTGCAACTACCAACATAATACTTATTTATTTATAGTTACATAGTCACTTATATTAATAAAAGAAATAAATATAACTGTAAATATTTATAAGGCTGAAATTGCATTACTTTGAATTAATAAAAACTTCAGTAATAAAAATTATTATAGGAATTTCGATGTAATTAGAATGAAATTATTTTTATTTAGACTAGATGCTATACATACCGAGATACACAGTTACCTCACCCACCGGCCCTAAACAAGTTAACGGCCCATTTTTCAACAAGACATACGATTTATCATTTATTGTTATTATTATTCATATTTCATTGTTCAGAGTGGGGGGCTTAAAAATATTTTCGGACATATTATATTACTAAGCTGGCACAAATTTTACGTGGTCCATCGAGTTGGCCTCGTTAACTCGCCGGATCTTACCTAATCTGCAGTTAGAGAGGAATTCCAAAGAATAGGTTTGAAGCTAAATGAGTAAATGACTGATTAAAGGTTAGTTGATTGACATTTCAAACGAGTTTCTCACTGAAGTGTTTGTAGAAAGTGTAGACATTTAATTGGTTTAACAGGTTTTGAGGTCCGATTTTAGGAATTTGTTTGAGACAAACCAGGGTGCTCAAATAGTTAAATAAAAGCAGATATTGTGGAATAGAATTAAGAGTTATTTTATTAGAGTTATCTCAGCAAAATCATATATGCCAATATCATAATATGTGATACGCACATAGTGGTTATAACTTATAGGAGAGTCATGGTTAAAACATTTTAGGAGATAATGATAAGTTTGAACTTCTGTTTGGTCTTAAAAATGGAATTCTGTGGTTAAGTTTCTTACGCTTATTTCCATGACGAGAAGACTATAGGTAGATAGTAGGCTAATTTCTGTCTAGTATTAGACCATGATATTTAATCACAATTGAATGAAGGATAATAGTGTTTTTAATTGCTGTATTGTCCAACTTGTCCCAGTGTGAAAGTGATAAATGAAAGACATAGATTCATTAGTTTTTATTTTATAGGTACCTAGTAACCATTGATAAAGAGTGTCCTTGTGAGATTTCAGCTTAATAATTTTAAGAAATTATCTGTTTCTGTTATATCTAAGTTATAATGATTGAATTATTTTCTGACCCGAACAAGCCTGAAAGGTAGAAAATATATAAGAACAATATTATGTTAACCTATAGAAACGACAGCTGTAATAAATAATTGTTTTGAGTATTGCAAGTCTTAGTGAAGATTAAAGAAGCGTTTGTTTAAATGTGATTTTTATATTAGACAGTAGCCTTTCGTTATAATTTGAATTACACAGAAATTCAGTTTATCTATAAATACGGTAGGTGGTTGAAAGTATTTTTGTGACCGCTGAATTATCGTCAGTTGTCTTGCGCGGTGACATATTCTTGCGCCTGGTAACAAATATTATCATATCATTAATGTTTGTGCAAATATTATTAGTGTCTATATTAGTATACCTTGTTAGCCTTGGCGTGTGATACCTAAATAGTTTAAACCCTAATGGCTAACATGAATATTCCAAAGTCTGTTCGTTAAATAGTTGTGCGTATGCAAAAAAACAAAAAGTTACTGTACATTAGGAGTTGAGTTTGTCACTGTAATAGATATGTTTAATTTGAATTCAATGATATATCATTGCATATGAAAAACGATTTGGAGCGAAGACGGCCTATAGTTAGCATATTTATAAATGTTTAACTATACAATAGTTTATACATTAAAATTATATTCATAAATTTTTTCAACATTCTAACTTTAAATGCTTATAAAAAAAATCTTGACGATGTATCTTTACTCCATAATATTTTTTGACTTCTATTAAAAAACCTTATATGGAACCTTGTAATGTTGTGACCTCGTTGTTAAAATTTGAACATTAAATACTTATAAAATAAAACGTATTTTTATTTTTTTCTACCGCCTTTGTAACAATATATTAGGAGCCTTATATAACATTTTCAAGCTTTTTGACCCAACGAATACAATTGTATTGACATTAAAAGAAAAAAAAAATTTTAAACCAAAAATGTCCGTATACAGCTCAAAATTATTAAAGTACTATGAAAAATGTATGGTACATAGAAAATGTTTATATAAACATTTAGTGATAATTTCATGTACCTATAATCATTTTTTTTTTTGGATTTACATTAAACACCAAAATCGATTTTGTTAAAAATTTGTTTTGATTAAAAATTCCGGGTTTCCTTCATTTTTTTTTGTTTTTTTTCCGAGCGCTTTGAAAGCTATGGGGATTTTTTAAGTTTGACCACTCAAAGCATCAACTTGATTCACATTTCTACTAGAAAAGATGATGGCAGATGCAAAAGAAAAAATTAAAACACATCATTGTAAAATCAATACATTCATCTATGCTTATAATATAAAATTATATTTATTAGTTTTTAATAACTGCACAAATAAGTATATTTTTTATGTAAAATTACGTATCAAATATTTTTTTAATTATCTTATTTTAAATATGTTATTATTAATTTATCTTCACAAAATGATACCTATAATACGATTTATATTTTATTTATTTTACGATTTATTAGGTTATTTACAGTTAGTTGGAGTATTGTATTATCAAATGATATTATTTTTTCACAGGAAATGCAAGTCGTCGCTGTAAAACGAATGGTGTTTGGGAAAATTCTTCTGATTATATGAATTGCCGAGCTTTGGAAACAAACAATTCATTGTATCCAGATCCATCAATTGTATACACATCATACTTTTACTATGGTGGTTATACCATATCATTAGTGGCATTAGTAGCAGCTGTATCCATATTTGTTTATTTCAAGTAAGTCTAATATGCATATTATGTATACAGAATAACTATTTTCTGTGATAATATTTTGAAATTGCTTCATTTAAGTGATTAAAGGAAAAAGTATTTAAGTTTGAAATGTGAATCTTATTAATCTAGGTAGGTTTAGTATAATGTCGTTTCTTAAATAAGTGATTATCTAATGGTTCAAAATTTTAAATTTGGTACTTTACACGGTAATCTATGAGATAACCGTGTTACTATATATATTTTAATTCATCAGTTGCAAGGGTTAACTCTTAACTCACTTCAGGAAAGGACAGTGGCAAGAATCATGTGCCGCTAATATTACACAACGTATATTTTCGTTATATTGAGGTGCTAATAAACTATATTTTTTTTCTACTGCTCCAAATTAGTTGTTATTAAAAAAAGACTTTGGAAAACTAATAGCATTGGACACAATAAAATGGTCTGAATCTAAAATATGTGTTGTCTAGGTATCTATTAAAGTAGATTGTGTGTCAAATTTGTCTATTTTGGACTCCGAGTGGAGCAAGTAATGTATTGGTTTTGCAATAAATCGTTCCCTTTTTTTTTGTAAATCAGGAACCTTTTGTGACATTTTTCCATTCTAGAGGTTTAATGCATCAACCCACTAGATTGCAATGTGAATGAATACGTTAGTTTTTTTAAAATTTTTTTTATTTGAATATTTAAGGTGCTTTTTTGTTAAAAATTAAAATAATGAAAAAACTTGAAAAATCAAGTACCTAATCCATTTTTAAGATACATTTTAATAATTCTTGGGTCATTCGAGATCCGCAATAAATCGTTATTCGGATGGAATGATTTATCATTGTTTTTAAATTTAAAGATTTTCTCCCCAGCAGTCCATCTTACTCTCGCATTTTGCCGGACATCTTTTATTTATTTATTTAAACTTCTACATCACAGCATTGAAAAAATCTGCAACTGTAGGGTTGTGGATATTTCTTTTATTGTTATTTAAATTTAATTTTGGTTATTATGAGTATTATCTATATGTTATCTCTGTGTTAACACTGTTTATTTATATTTAAATATTTAATACTAATAAATAATAACGCTTGTTTCTATACCTACGTAATGATTGTTGACCACTTAAATAATAATCATAAAATTGATTGATTTACTAATTTATTTAATTTTTAAAAAACAATGGTTAGATTCCGTGTATTTCATACTGAAATCCATTATCAATGTCTCTTGTTAAGTTATTGAATATGATACACAAGTCTTCAATACAAGATACAATGTTAAAATAAACTAAGTTGAAAAATGTCTCATTAAAAAAATCTCAGTTATAAAATTATAAAATTGTAATCAGTGGGATTTATTTATTTGATTTCATCCTTTAGATAACCGTTTTACAACAATGCACCTTCGTTCTAAATATTAGCCCAAAAAATGAGATTTTGTTCTAAAAATTAACTTGGCAACAAACAAATAATTATGTTGGTTTTGTATTTGTATTTTTGAAAGTTTAACCATATCAGAGAAAAAGAACAGTAGGTACCTTGTAATCTGGTTGTGTTTTGTACAGCTCAAAACATGCTGACGGCGTAGGAATGTAGTCTTGTATAAAATAGTATGTTAATGTTGTTTCACAAATATCAGGGTGTTGTAAAGAAAAAGATCTCATAAACTTCAAAGATATACACTTTTGTCATTTGTGTTTTTATTACATATATATATTATGGCCATTAAAACAACCCTTTACGCTATTTTTGTTTGAGATGAATATTTCCATTTAAAAAACCAAGATATAAATATATATATATATAATTTTAATATTTATATCGATCAGCCAAATACTTGAACAACGACACTGATTTACTACCCAGGATGTATAATGATATATAGGTAAAATATACATTATTGAACAAATGATAGGTACTTACTACATATTTTAAACGCTATATAGATTGGTTTTATAGACAAATTAACTTTGAGAATGTTGATATTATATATGATAGAATTTATAACTTATAGGTTGGTACACGTAATTTTAAAAAATTTTCTGTTATAGTATGAGTTATTAATATTTAGATTGATTGAATATACTACAAAAAAATATATTATTTTATTATCAGGTACCTACTTAAATTGGATTGTTCGCAATGTATTTTTTTTCCAATTCACCATTACCCATTACCATGTATTATTTAATTTATAAATAATACTATTTGTGTAACTGGACTTCACCGGTGAACAAATTACCAAGTTTAAAATACGGTGCTATTTTATAGTGTATCTTGGTTTTAGCTATTGTGGGTAGATATCTCAGTTCACGGAAAAATTGGAATAAGTGTACCTTGCTTTGTGAACTAATTCGACCGAGGTGGGCAATCCGCCAATGGTAGATTATGATGTATAGCATTTGGTATTTTTATGAACGTGGCTCAAAGGAAACTACTCTCTAAACTTTTCTGATATTTCTAAAAACAATTTAAAATTTTCGTCAAAATCGGTCAAGTAGTTTTTGAGTATATAAGCTACAAAACATTAATTTTTCATAAATAATATAGATTAGTTTTATAAAAGTCCTTTTATTTCTCGCAACCCTAAATATAAATAAAAAATATTTGATTTCCGTTTGAAACTTTGAAACAAAATCTCTGTGTTACCTCATCTTTAAAATTCGAATATTTAGAAAACGTGTCTGAATGTATCTCTATATTGCAGTACTAAAGAACTGTCGAAATGTCAAGTGTTTACCTACCTATTATATTTTAGGTTCTATGCCGTTGATCAGCCAGTCAGTCAGGATATGTTTGATTAAATATGTATATATGTATGATTTAAATAAACACATTTAGTAACTCATAATATGGTTATCATGTATAAGTATAAAATACTTACATGTTTTCAGAGATTTACGTTGTTTGAGAAATACAATACACACAAATTTGATGTGCACTTATATACTATCTGATTTTACATGGATATTGACATCAACACTACAGGTTTGTGAACAATTTACTAAACAAAATTAACACCAGTTGTGTTTTTAATATTTTATATAAAGGTATTTTTAATAAATTATTTAACAACTCAAAAAAGTTTAACTGGACTACATTTACAGTATTGACGGTCATAAAATACACGAAAATGTTTTTAATTATTAATTTACTATCAATATACCCAAAATCAATAAAAAAAAACGTAACTGTAATAATATTGAAATGTAAAAAATTGTTGGTATACATAACAATAAAAAAATCTTGTTTTTCAGTGTACCTATTGTGTATGCATAATTTTTTTTACATTTTATATTTTAAATATTTTGAATCCGTTTGTAAAATTTAATAATTAATCATACAGCTCATTTCTCAGTATATCCTACATGGATATTGATCGAATAAACCTTATATTAGCTAAACAAATTCATAACCAATTAAATGTAGGTACACAAAATGACAAATTATTATTAAATATTTTTTTTTTATTAAAAACAAAACAATTATACAATTGTTTCAGGAATGGCTTTCAGCTAGTAGTAATGCTTGTGTGTTATTTACATTTTCGTTACATTACTTTGTTTTAACAAATTTCTTTTGGATGTTTGTCGAAGGTAAGGATTATTTGAAACCTTTGATTGAAAAAATGAATAGATTTATTAATGCTTTTTTGTTTAAACATTTTTTTAGGCTTGTATCTGTATATTTTGGTTGTAGAAACTTTTACCAGGGAAAATATCAAGCTCCGCGTTTATATGTTTATTGGCTGGGGTAAGTTGTATACATATATAAAAATAATAATAAATAAGAAACCAATTATTATTATTACATACCTACTTACTATTATTATCATTTTTTTATACAATTTGTGAATTTTGTTACCTGCAATTTATTTTTACTATTATGTTAATCAATTTCCAATATACCTAAACACCTGCACTATAATTTTGAGTTAAAACTAAATTAAGTTTAATATTTATATAATTGCGCTTCTAATTATAACACGGACAAAAATGATTATTAAGTATCGAGTTTATTAATTTATAATTTTCTATCTCATGTCTAATATGCAGTAATAGGGTTTCAGATATCTTTTGAATTACATCAATTTAGTTTGCACTTAATAGTTTTTTGAAAACTGAGTGATTCCAAAAATCCATTAGTAATTATATTAAGTAATTAAATTATATGCATGATGTTGTAATATTATATATAATTTAAATCAATATTTAATACATTATATTATACTATTACTATATAGTCTATATTATTTTTAGGGCTTTTAAAACACAATAAACTAGAAAAATAAAATAGTACATCTATACTATTTTTTTAGAAACAAAAATAAATTTAGTGACATTTACAAAATGACTTCCATTTCCAAAATGTATTTTATGTACTTACTCCATTTTAGGAACATATTTAATCTAAATATTAAGATATTGAGTGTGTGTATAGGTTGATAAATTATGCATATATAATATATTATGTATATGCATGGACGCATATTAGGCATTAGGAATTTCATTTTGGAACACATTTATACAATTTCAAACTTACTGGTGAATTTATTATTTGATAAATAACATATTATTTACATATTTATTTCAAGAATTAGGACCATTCCACATTTGTATACAAACCCCGTGTTATGTTAAATTTTAAATTCTGCATTTGAATAAACTAATGATTAATGAATAATGATTAGAGGCCTTGACTTCCAAACCATATCTTTCTTATCTAATAAAATATAAATCGTTTTAAACATATTAAATACGAATATTATATATTATTTCACTTTTATATTTATTTAACATAATATGATGATATGTTTGGACTGTCTATTTCTTACGTAAAGTCGCAGAGGTATACGAAAAATAAAATTAGCTTATTTTTTTTCATAAATTTATAGATTTTAATAATTTATCTGAATACTTACTTAAAATTGTTAATAAACCTTTTAAATACTTGTAGTCTCCATAAAATATTATAGAAATTTAAATATTACATTATGATATTAAGTTTTTAACAATTATAATTAATAGAAAAATAATGAATTAAAAATATTATAATTAGTATTGGAGAATTTAATTAAAAATGCATACCTATATTTTTGTTTAAAAAACTGACCGTAGTTGTTATCACCTGAAAGCTACCGAGAAATTGATAAAATCAACACTTCGAAGGGAACCTCAAAGTTATAACAATAGTATTCACATTAATACAGTTTTTTCTTAAACTCTAGAAGGTAAAATAAAATACACGAAATACAAATCGTTGCTTTTACATTTACTACTTAAAAATATTTGACTAAACATTTCTCATCATTTTAATTTTTTAAAAAAAAATTCCATATGAACTTGTTTGATTTGAAAAACGTTCAGTTATTTACAAGTTTTTGTCTGTTATAATAATGTTTATTGCACGGTAAATTGATTTTTAATATTTTTTGTCTTTAAATATTTATTCATAATCGGTCTCATCAACAGCTTATTTTAATGGAGTGAATTGAAACAATTTATTTAAAATAAAATATACAACTAAGGAGGACAATCTCATTGAAAGCTCTATTGAATCCTACAGGAATTAATTGATAAATATATAATCAACATAAGATTGTAATAAATTTACATTTTAAATTATTTATCACAATAGCGGTTCATTGAAATCATGATTCAACTTGAATAATGGTATTGTCTGGGACTTGGGTCATCACACGAGTTCCCTCAGTGAGTCCTAGGATTATTTTCTGAAAACAAAATTGAAATAATTTTGTGGCATATTTTTAGTAAATGTAACTGTACTTACCTTCGGGGATTCATGCCCTCTATTCAATAAATAGAATAAGTATTTAACAAACTAACAAATTATGTTGTGAACAAATTACAACAAATTGTTATTTTAATGATTATTCATAAAATTGCATAAATCATAAGTATATAATTGTCATCGTCAGATGTTTTATATGATTTGATATTATGTTTCTATATTTTTCAAACAAAAATATTTTATTTGTTTCCGTTATAGATAAATTGCAATGAAAATTATTAATTCGTATAATAAACTAAAGTAAGTACCTATATGGGTTTTCCATATAATTTTAAAAAGTAACTGAAACGATTTTGGTGTATTGAGTATTTAGAGTATTTTTTCTCAGAATATTTGAGGGGGTTACTTGTTACTGAACCTATTGTATTTACAGTTTGTAAAATTATTATAAGTATCTTCATAAAATCAGTAATATGTTGTAGCATTTACACATGAATTTTACAGGTTGGCTTATTGTTTGAAAGTATTGAAACAACCTGGGTTTTAAGTAGGTATTGATATAGTATTTTAAGAGTTAATCTTTCATTTCATCAGTTTTTCATATTTGAACAACGTTGTGAATTTATTGTGATCCGATTTGTAGTGCGTAGGCCATGAACCACAATCTGGAAATTCTGTAATGCATTTCAACTCTGGATCTTTTGTAGTGTATACAATATACGTGGGTTATATAATTTTTTTTTCAAGTTTATTTAGATCATGTATTTTGTTATATATTGTTTTATTCCAAGAGGTATAGAAGTTTTAATTTATGAATACAATTCGCAATGCTTATGAGCAACATTATAAGATCTAATTTTTATACTTAAGTCATCGAGGTTATTCCGTTGTTACTTTTTGAATTAATGTTTAAATATTATTGTTTGTCATAATATGATATTGCACGAGTCACAACTTTATGAGTGTCATAGGTACAAATTATAACTTATTCAAAATAACATATTTTATTAGTCTAAACAAAACTGTTGTAATTTATTGATGTTATTTACTTGGTAGTTAAAATGGATCATTTTTATTTATTTCCTCAATAATTTCCCTAAGTACAAGGAGAAAATTCCGAAAATATTGAAAAAAATAAAGAATAAAAACCCTGTCTTAAATACAACTGATAGATTTTAGCAATTTTTGTATAAGTATTTAAAAACAAAAAATAACTTTAGAGACTCTAACGTTTAAATAATTGTGTTAATATATTGAGTTAAATATGGATGATATTAAAGTAATACCTATGCATTATTTACTACCAGTAAGATATTCTGGTCACATAAAACCATTTTAATATTTTTTTTAATAATTATTCATATTGCATATCTCAATGTATTATTGTATTAAATACTCTTTTGTCACTTTCGGGTAAATATTTTTTAAGACATTGATAAATTACTCTTGAAAAAATTTAAATAAACCCTAAAGCTTATATATTTTTTAAATATTCAATGGTTGTAATATTTCAAAGACAACATTAATTTCTAAATAATTCAAGGCAAAAAAAACTTATGAATACCTATATTAGTAAATAATATACTAAACTAAAAATCTAATCAATTAAAACAAGTTCTGAAGAGTGAAAACTGTATTATATTATTTACCTACTGATTTGTTTATTGATTTAGAATATGCAGATATCGTCGGCTTCATAGTAAAATCTCTTGTAATTTTTATAAAATAGTCCAAGAGAAGCGTAAAATCGTGGAAGGGTTATTTTTTACGTTTGTTCTTTGAAAATTTGAGTCACGAAGTCTTATACGTTGTATTTTATCACATGAAATAACTGTCTAATATAAATCATTCTGATACCAAAATATGTAGAAAAATATGATGTATCCATTAAAATATATATATATTTATATACTATATGCAATTTTTGACTTACGAGGTTTTGTCACGAAGCTGACAATATATACTTATCACTTTTCTTAGTTTAGTTACACAATTTTGTATGATATTAAAAATTATAATTTTCGTAATTTATATTTTTAAGACATACTGTCAAGGTATAGTAGATTAGATGCTTAAAATAACTGATAAGTCTAAATTTCGTAGGTACCTAAGACCTAACTAAGTATGTTAGTTGCGTTCTCACAGTGAACCTCCATACTTTGTTGTTTACCGATGTATCCCGTCACTTCTTGTCGGTTTGTTAATTTTTAAGTTATTACCTATAAAGAAAAGCATATTATAACTTATACAAAATTATTTGCAATTTATAGTTTTCAAAATTTATTTTAACAGTTTAATCTTTTACACTATTATTTTTAAGGGTTAATTTATGCCGTCTCGACTTTTGAGTAACGACAAAAAATGTTTTGTACTTGTTTTTGCATTAATATATGCTCTTTTGAATACAAATTCGGCTAAAATGTGATCTTTTGGGTAACTCAAAAGAACCGACTATTTGAAAAAATAAAGATAAGGTATTAAAAAGTATGAAAGATAGGTAGTTATTTTATCTAAAATATAAATTCAATTAATTTTAAATGCTTTGAATTTATTTAACATTCAGCATTTCTGCCACTCAACTATCAAATTTAAATGATCATAATATCATTTTTTGATTAGAACAAACAAGAATATGTTTACAATTTGTAATAAAAATGTATACAGTAGGTATACAATTTGGGGGGGAGGGATACAAGTACATAGGACTGGACGGCATAATTAATAGGAATCTGACCGGTTCATAATTACGTTCATACCCTATGTAGTTAGGTCGCTATGACATATTTTTAATTTTTCAAAATCAAATTGCATTTCAAACCAGTGATGCCGATCCATATAATGTCCAAGTATGGCGAGCGCCATCTTGAGTTATTTTCATTTGCCTGCGTTCACTAATTATTGGTAGGTGGGAAGGTTACTATTAAAATTTGATATTCACCATACTGATTTTTTTGTAGTACGGCGCAACGTTTTTTAAAACCTTTGGCAACTAATAGAGAAATGGGGTTGATTACCGTAATTGTATTGTTGGTTGCGAGATTATGCACCATGTGCAGAGTCTACACTAATGAAAAGATTCAAAAAGCATTGTAACTAGAGACGTTAATCGCAATAGAACTGTTAAAATTGTATTGTATATTCTTATAGAAAGAACGTTTATGAAGAATAATCTCTTATACTAAAATAGCCAATATACTTTAAAGTTAAAAGTTTATCTTAAGTCTTAACTCTAAATATATACAATTTTAGTGTGAAAGGTGTGCTTGATGTTATTTGCATAATAGTTCAATTCGAGGAGGGATAGACTATAAAAGTATAAACATAGGTAGGTTCGCATTTCTTGTTAGTTGCTCAACTGATAAAAGTTGTTCAAGTTTCTTATTTTTAATACGGGTAAGTGCGGAAAATCCAAGTTTTCAGAGGTGTATTGTGGGATATGGTAATAATATATTTATAGCTTTTTTTCTGTAATTATCGGATACTTGGTATGAACTACAATAATGATCGTGGATCATGGTATGAATTAAACTAATTCGAAAATGGAGTCAATGACCGATCAGATTGAAGTTTTTGTTCAATTAGTCCTATATAAGATATTTAGATATATAAAGATAAATATTTCCCTGTGTTTTTGTAGAATAAAATATTGTTTGTTAAAGAAGTACATTGATATTACTAGATAAGATAATGATTATGTGTTTAAGTTTAACTGATAATATCATAGACTTTAAACTACTAGATAAGAAGTGCATATAACAATAGCATGACGAGAGGTTTAACAACATCTCGCAGTGATGTAGGATATCTTTAGAAAAAAAAATACAATAGTTGATATATCTATATATCTTAACCTGCTACCCCTCACTACCGCTAGTAATCGAGTAATCAAAAAGCCTCTTCTGCATTGTTACGCTTTCCCTACACTCATTGCTTGTCTAGCAGTCTAAGGTCTATGGATAATATAATTGATATAAACATAAACCTACATAACTGATTTGCGACGGATTCGCGTTTTTATGTTTCCCGGTCCAAGTACTTTTTGGCAAGCAGACAAGTTTATTCAAAGTGCACTGTGACTTATAATAACTAATAATAATGTGACGTGACGGAAAAAAGTTCGGGAGCCACAAACAAATGTTTAAACAAGTATTATAAACAAAAGTTTTTGATTATGTTTAATTCTTAGACACATTTTATATATTTTAAACTCTTAATAAATGAATAACCTATATTTTTTACTGTGTAATATATATTTTTGTATACAGCCTCTTTTGAAAAAGTTTTTTTTAAGTTTAATATATGTTAAATTATTTTGAACAAACAATATAAGCAAAATAGAAGATTAAATTTACAATTTATATTAGACTTGAAGTGATTTTAGGGTTTTGTTTAATTAGGTTAGATGAGTTATTTTTAAAAAATGTTCAAACAGATTTATTCTATAATGTAGGCGTATTAAAGACATTGATATTCTTTCAAAATTCCAAATTTTAGTACATACGAATTTACTATTTTGTTTTTATGCAATGTAATAATTGACACATATTATGGTTTAATAATTAAAATATTTTTCTGAAATACAAGTGATGGAAAAATCTCAAGTAGGAATCTATTTTAAAGAATACTACGATTATGTGTATTATATACCTAGGTTAATTATTTTTTATTGAATCATAAGAAAATGTTTATTTGATTTTCATGTACGATGCTCAAGTACAACGCTGTTATATATTATTAAATAATTTCATAATATATAGCAGTATAGCAGTATCCTTTTCTTTCCTAATATTAGAGGAATCTTAATTCTATGTTACTCTTAATATATTTAAAATCAGCTATAAGCCTATACAGTTAGACGATATTAATTTATGCATGCATTATAACAATTTATACATTTAAATTTAAATACTTAAAATATGCCATTACTGTTTAAATATTAATATAATACTGTGGTCTGTGACCGAAATAATTACTATGTTACAGGTTTCCCACTTGTAATTATGATTGTTTGGGGTGTTTCTAAGGTCGTCACACCAATTGAATCAGAGGTGAGTTTAATGGTTTAACAGTCTTTAAATTCATCTTAGTAATATAGGAATTAAAAATTAATTAATATTTTTTTGCACTCTCAAAGCTTAAGTGTTTAACAATCCAGTTTTGAAAAGTTTATTGATAATCTTACTTTTTTATCCTTAGTAACTTTTTAATCATGGGAACGAAAAACATTGTTAATGAGACATTTAGCTTAAGTTGAACAATGTGCATCACTTATATTTGAATTATATTTTTTTTTAAGTACGTAGTATAATATATTTTTGATTCAAATTTAAAAACAACAAAATCTTTTTTTAATTAACTGGTTGAATAAAATATTATTCTAAGATAATATTTAACCTAGTTTATGATATATTTTTTAACTAAAATTTTGTGATATTATACATATTTAGATTAAAATAGGTTTTCAAAATTAAGTTTGTATTTCTATTTAACTATTTAAGTATTTTTTTTTTACCAAATAACTACAAATAAGCATTTTATAGATTAAATTTTAAAAATTAATTCAGTTTAAAATGACTCAAAACCAAAACCTGTTGGTTCATTTCTCCACTCAGAATCTATAAAAATAAATAACTTATAGTTGTTGTATAAATAATTTATTAAATATCCTTAGTCGTACAGGCTGACCTCTAAGCTCAGGATCTCTTTTCGTAGGTATCCAATGAATCAAATTTAACACTGATATTTATGTCATCTTCAGAAGCATCATATATTCATATTAGATAATTAAATAGATTTTTTTTAATGGGTATTAGAAGTTTGTATCAGTTAAATAGATTATAACTTAACTCTTTTTTTTTTTAGTCAATTGACTTAAAGATTTTTTTTTAACCATAATTTATTCTTTATACATTTTGATAAGAATAAAATGACATACGGAAGGTTGACCACATATCAGTCAGAAAAGCAAAGTGCTGTGTTCGCTAATGACAGCACAAATGCACGCGTGCCCCGTACTGATAAAAACAGTTTGACGGGCTTGATAGAAACTAGAAAAATCCAATTTTTTAGCTTTTGTTTATCAATTGATAAAATAGGGGAAACATAATAGCGAATCATTGATTCTTGTACAAGGTACTTACATTGTATTTAACCCCTTGTAACAAGTTTGGTGATTTCAAACTGATTAAATTAGTAATGCATTTTCTCCGATAACTAGTCGATGTACTTAAATGATTCGTCAACATATCGAAACTAGAAAGTGTTTTAGTAGTTAAAAAAGGAGTCAAAATTAAACAGAAGTTAACCTTTTAAAAAGATGAATAAATAAAAATTATCTTAGTATTTGTAAAATTTTGTAGAAATCAAATCAATGGTAATCACTTTTTTGTATTCCAAGTCTTTATGTTATTATATAATTGAAAATGAAATATTTTTATCGAGGAGTTTTTAAATGAACTCAAGGGGAAAAATATTATATTGAATTCATTGATAGTATACAGACCTTAATACTTATTTTTTTTATTTAATAAAAACAATAATTATAAAAAACATGTAAACATTTTTAAATATTTATGATTCATCTACCTCCTTTAAGCGTTGCTTGTGATGGAGATAGAGAAAATACAAATACTGTAACAACACATTTATTTTTACTGCTCGTAGTTAATAATGTACCTATGGGCTATGTGTAATATTATGTTATTAATATAGGTACATCATATATATCTATAATAATTATATAGCCATATAGGTATTGGTATAAAGTATACAAGGATCCAAAAACCCTTGAAATAAAATAAGAAAAAAGGAGAACACTAATTTAATAACAACTTCCAAGAAGCGAGAAGAAAACATGATAACAATTCCTACAGCATCTAATTTGGAAAATTAAAATCAACGCAGAGCAAGGCAAATAAAACAACTAGACAGCAAATGATAGCATCAGAAAAAAGAGTTTTGGACAAGGGGGGCTTTAGAGACCAACATGGTTGGGGGGACCTAAATTATATTTTTCAGAAAACTTTTGATTTTATAGTATTTTTCTTAAAAATATACAATTGTTTAGAAATAGGGGATTGGGAAGGTGCCTTGGTCCCTAAACCCCCTGGAGCTACTCTTAGTTCAGGATGACATTGGGATCCATGAGAAGGATCCAAGTCAACTTTTATAAAAGTGTAAATCGATTAATGATTGTTATAAATCATTTGTTTTGGTACCTGCATTATGAGAGTTAATGATAGTTAGGTACCTTTTAATAGACTCCATAGTGATTTCAGACAAATATAATGATGAGAAAGATGTGTTTCGAGAAAACAATCATTCAAATCATGATAACAATAGTAGTACAGATGGAAACTCTTATTTATTTGAAGAACTGTGGTAACAGTATTAGCAGAACTAAGTTTGGAATAAATTAAATCAGATGTGTCATCATAAAGAACAACAAAGAACTGGGATAAGATAATATTAACCCAAAAGTAACATTTTAGACACTATATCATGGACAAATTATAAAACTATATCTTGAGAAATTTATGTGAGGTACGCGGGAAATTCAGGAAATTTAAGGAGTAGGAAATATAATCGTGTACTAGAATAATATGCTGATGGCATTTTGATACTTGGATAATTTAAAATAAAAATGGAAAGAAGTGTAAGAAAACTTATATAGGAAAGTCGAACGACGAGTCTTGTAAATCAATTTTGATTGGTTAGTTATCCTTTGATTAAGTTAAGAGATTAAAATTCTTACAGGCATAATCATAAGTTATAAAAACACTAATATGTTAAACATAACGAAATAAAGATCAGAATAAGTGCAGCAAATTGAGGATTTACACAATGAGTAAACATTTTGCATTTAAACTTCTCTCAAGAGATAAACGATAAAATCTGTATATAATGTACTGCATATTGTACTCATATCTCGTTATTACAACAGGTGGTTGTGAGACGAGGTCACATACGTCACACCAGCCTATCATTTTCAAAATATTGAAATTTTAATTTCTATCCTTTATTACACTATTTGAATGAATTTGTGCTCTGTGGTTAAGTTGGGTGGTTCAGAATTTGTAGATCCCTTAGGTCCCTTAGGTCCCTCAGGGGCTTAGGAGACTAACGTCACGTGACACTAGTCTCCGACATAACTAACTAAAATGGTATTACCTACTATGAGTGGAGAATGAGCATAGACTAAACAGACTGCAAAGTGGTCCCAATTTAAGAGATTTTGTAAAATAAAAAAAGGTTGGAATAGCTGGATTTGTATGAAGCGCAGAGGGTAAATTAATTTAACTAGCAAGTACTTACTACCTAATAAAAGCTAAATAGAATACGATCGATACGACGATTACGTTAACGTTGGATGGCCCGTGTGATGATAAACGATTTTAAAAGTATCGAATGAGCATTGCACATCCAAAAGATCGAGAATGTTGGATATCTTTCATATAGAAGTTGCAAAAAAGCCTGAATCGTCAGTAGAGTAAAAAAAATAATATATTATATTATCATATGCATTACCTATTATACACCATATTATTTTATATGCGTTATACCTACATGTATTTGAAAAACGTAACGTCCAAAAGGAGATAATTATATATTTAATGTAACAGGTTTTAATAATAATGATTCAATGTCTATTCATATTTATCAAATTTTCTATTTTAAGTTCAGTATGACGCGTCATGACGTAAGAAAATAATATTAATCGTATTAATATGGTTTTATGGCAATATTCTCATTTGCTATTTACTTCTTAGTTGTATAAACGATAAGCTTGTAATGTAGTATTGAAAAAATAATGCAAAGATTAATGGGAAATCAAAAATTGAAATGTTTAATATATAAATATTTAAAATTAATTTCACTCAAGTTTTCAAGCATTTCAAATATTTTATTTTTATTTTTTTAGTTGAATCCAAATATCTTGATGTTTAAAAATTTATCAAAATCCCATACTGTCAAAATGGCAGAAATGTTCTATTTCACGTAGATAAAAAGGAATTCAAGGGAGTATACTGGAATGCGTTCTGTTTCGTATTAATGTATTATACAGTTGTAGAGTTGCTAGAAATTCTAAAAGTATTACATTTCTCGTTTCGATACGTATCAAACATTAAATGGTTTTCTTGTGATCCAATACGAAGTTAAGCATGTGCCATTGAGCCAACTTCTCTAAACATCTTATCAGATATCGGGTTCAATCAATTTCGGACTGTGTAGCAGCTGTTGTGTGTGGGATCTACAGTTAGCATCCCATGCGAAGTTAGTGTTTTACACTTTTCTTTTGTTGCCTGCTGTCTGACTATCAAATTCACCCGATGCTTACTTACCCCGTAAGTGACTGAGTATTAATTTATTAGATAAGTTTACTTGTAAATAATATATGGGTATGTAATGATTAATGGGTAGGTGCTTATTGTACAAATCATTTATGCAAACTGTGCATTCAATGTATAAATTATAGTTATTTAATTTTTTAAATTTATATTTAAATATTTCATTTTTGATGTCAATAAGCTAGTACGCTGGTGCACATTAACACTGTTTTTAATATTTAATATATATTATTATAAATAGTATTTACGCGCTGTTTTAAATTTTCATAAGGTAATTGTATCAACCATAGTTGTTCTATGTTTTGAATACTCTTGATAATTATTTAGATTTGTTTATTTTTACTAAAGAATATAGTTCATAAAACAATAGTGTTGTTATCAACTATATTATTAATACTTTTATTTAAATTGTTAGTATGTCACAGAAGTCCTGAGTATCCCGTATCACCCTTTTGTCTCCGTGGAAAATCAATGTATTAATAATAATATGTGATTAAGTGGTTTATTTTACAGTGATAAGTATTGAAGTTCTAATTGAATGGCAAGTGATTACATTTTTTAGTTTCGAATATTTTGTTATCATATTAGTTTCATTCAAAACAATTTTAATGAATATCAAAGCAAATTAAGTTGTTGACTTTGTAAAAATTATAGTTTTGTTAGCAAATCACGAATGACATGATTTAAGCAATCTGGCTGATTTCTTTATGGCAAACTACTGTGGCATCCTCTTAATGTCACAATTTTTGGAAATAGGTAAAATGGCTTTATCCTATAGTTGCAATGTTGCAATTTATGGACTCTTGTTGTGTCAGTGTTTAATTCACTACTGAACAACTTAACTAATGGGTTATTAAATATTATTTATACAGATTATCTGACAAATCCGCTTTTTAATTGATGTTGATTAAATAATGCGATTCATGTTTCGCTAACATAATAAGGTATTATTCAAACGAAGTCAACAACTTAATTTGCTTTAAATCAGTCGATTTTCACTCAATTTTAATAGTTTACTGTTTTAAAAAGTATTACCTACCTTAAGACATGATTTTTTTAATTTTTGAAGAAAAAAAAATGAATCTTAAACCATTAAATTGGAATTCATTATTTGTATTACTGTACAAAAATGAGCATTTAAATATTCAAATTTCTATGGATATACTACTGCCTAATGTTGATACCTAACTTTTGGACAAACTGTGTATTATAATTAGTAATAACGTAATACAATTTTGTACTTTTATATAATAATGATATTTATTTTTAAAACTTTTTTTTCTTATACAGTTATACCTACATACGATATTCACAATATGAATTAATTACATAGTACTATAAACGGTGATCACTGATCATATTAGATTTATTAGATTACAATGAAAATAAAATACAACTTTGTATTAAGTACCTAAATACAAAATGTATTATAATTATATGATTGTAAAATTAAAATGCATTATTTAACACGATGAACAGTTTGATCATGATGATGGTAAAATAGAGGTAAAAAATTGTAATGTTTATGCATTCAGAACTTATAAACCTATTCAATATAAATATTTAACAATTCTGCTTAGGTATTAATTTTTTTTTTAATATAACTTAACATTTTGAAAATTTAAAAACAATGATATCAATATGCTCTTTTTAATATTTATTATGGCTTATAGTTTTTATAGTAATCCATTCTTTAATTAAATTATTTTTTGTTACCTAGTCAAAAAGTTGAATAAAAAAAGTATAAAACTAAAAGTACATACAATTTATGTTTCTGTTACAGGAAACAAGCGATTCTTGTACTTGGATGACACCGCATCCCGTGCACGATTGGATCTACCAAGGGCCGGCGATAATAGTGTTGATTGTAAACTTGGTTTTTCTATCAAAAATCATGTGGGTAAGTTGACTTTTATTTTCACTTTTAAAGTGGAAAAAATATCTGTTTGATATGATGCATGATATATATATATACGAGAAAAATAAAAACAGGACTTAATTTCTAAAATCGAAGTTAAGTTAGGAGGTGTAAATATACCGGAAATAATCTTTGAAATTAAGTTGAATTACTTCACATACCTCAATTTTAAACGGCAAAAAACAAATGACTATAAGTCAATAAATAATGTTTATTTTTACTTGACGATTTTAGTTTTACTTATTTTTCTTATAATAATAAGTAAATAAATAATTTCAGACTGGTAGCACATTTTTTTAGTATAGACAATATTAGACATATAAACACTTTATAATATATAAGACACACACGTGTTCCATAACCCTACAGTCCCAAGACCCTACAGTACCACAGTCCACAACCTACAGCTAATGGCCTCAGTTGCCGAAGCTTAAAAATAATAATAAAAAATATATATATTAGAGGAATGTATTGGAGTATTGGACTATTAAAAATAGTTAAATAAATAGTATAGTATAGGTGTACAATTTAAATAATCGTATAGTTATAATAATATTTTTAGAGCCAACGAAGCAAGTAAACTGAGACAATAATTTGTAAAAAATTATTATTTTTACCTTATTGATTTACTTAACATTTAATAGCCTTATTCTATGCAACATGATATATGTGTTTCAGTGTTTGTGAGTGTAATTTGTATAAATATTGTGTATATTGCGTATTTGCGTGTGTGATCACGAAATGTCTCATTTAAATTTGTATTTGAAAATTAAATTATTTGTGTATCCTATGAAACCTGAGTGTATGTTGCAAGAGAACTGGGAAGTAACGTAGATAATATATTATTATATACAATACATGTATATGATAAATAACTAAGAAGTAAATGTTACATTCCCAAAAGAAAACTTAGTACCTACCTTACTAAAAAATATTAAATCCAGAAAGTATGACATCGGTCATCGTTAAACGTTCATGGACCTGGCTCTCAGACCAACTCCTTTCGGGGGTCTACATCAACAATTATTGTAACATTATTATAATTTATATTTGAAATTAAAATGTAAGTGCAACATATTGTAGAAACTTTTTAGGTAACTTAGGTATAAATATAAATGTAAATCAATGGTTTTATTTATATTGTACAGTTTACTGAGCGTTAAAAATAATTAAATAGTCTACGTTTATTTTGTAATTTACGGAGAAAAACATAATAAGAAATATCTTAAAAATAATAATATTTTGCACACATTACAAATACTAATATACAAATATAAAACAAATACTTGAAATTGAATATGTCTTAAATGCATGAAATAAAATAATCAATCAGCATATTAAGTAGCAACAGTACTTATGACGTTGCAAATTGCGATGTAAAATAATAAATACTAAAAGAGTTAAAGTTAACTAAACGTAATACAATATAGTTTTAGTTATTATAAGGTACTTATCATAAATACAATTTATTAATTTCACATAATTCTGTATATAATTAATATAATCTGTAAGTATGTATAATTATATAAATATGGTATACTTACGTAAATATTAACTCTCATTTTAGATTTTGAGGAGAGTGATAAATGCATTGGTTTTACAATACCTAATGTTTTTTATTTTTGTTCTGTTTTTTTTGTCTTGTCATCACCTTTTGGGGCTGTAAAAATGCTTCGATACTTTAGCATCTTTTCTTTTAAGCAAGTTAGATCGTTGATACTTTTGGAGGGGAAGGATATTTAAACAAAGAATAACAATTTCAGTTATTTTGTTGCAATTTAAAAATATTATTCGCGAGTACTTGAATATTTTAAAGTATATTATTATATTTTATACACTCAATAACATTTTCAAAGGGGTATCATATATTTTCATATTTTTGGAAAAAAAATACTTGTATTGTAATACATCATAAATTATACTTAGTTATATAAATGACCGTCTTTACTCTGAATCATTTTTCGTATATAATAGTTTTGTATATCAATGTCTATCGAATTCAAATTTAACTTACCAAAGACCTAGTACCCACTTTTTTCCAGTTATACCTATACTTACATGTAGTCTATAATCTATACTATGTTCCTACTAATATTGAAATATCCTTGTAATGTTGATTATAATGTTGGTAATATGATTTATTAACTTATTATTTGAATAAAATATTGAATGTTATTGTAGTATTATTTTTTACTGAATTTAATATTTGTATGATGAATAAAAAAATAGGTTGTTAACACAATCAGGTGTATACACTATACAGTTATTAGTTACGTCAGTATGCCATATTTTGACATTAAATAAAGTATTATAATTTAAAGAAAACGTGTTTCTAACATTATATTACATTTGTAGGTACTAATAACAAAGCTAAGGTCAGCGAATTCGGCTGAAACCCAACAATACCGCAAAGCCAGTAAAGCTTTGTTAGTTCTTATACCATTGTTAGGCGTTACCTACATACTAACTATGGTTGGCCCTACGGAATCCGGTACTTACGCTAACTATTATTCTTATGGTAGAGCTACACTTTTGTCTATGCAGGTAAGCTTAAAAATGTTGATAAAGATAATGTTATTATTTTGTAGAAAAAATCGGTCAGATATCTCAGGTGTCTGGGATTACACCTGCCTGATATTCACACGATTCTCTTAATATAATATAATCTGAGTAATTGTATACTATAAATGTATATACTATGCACGTTATATTTTTAATAAATAATGCTTAAGTTGAATCTTGATTTACGATGTAATGCGATCTTATTATTCAAAATTTGAAATAATGAATATTAAAAGATAATATTTTTTAATTAATTAATATTACACTAAAAAAAAAACAAATATATTTTTTTTATCCTTGACACATTAAATGCAGTGTTGTATTATATTTTAACACTAGCTTAAAAATTTAAAATTTACATCTTTGTAATTAATTTGTATTTGTACAGGGCTTTATGGTGGCAATATTTTACTGCTTTGTCAATTCTGAAGTTAAGAATACGTTCAAACATCATTTCATTCGATGGAATGACGCGAGAAATCTGAGAACCGGTGGCAGCCGAAGATTTACTTATTCAAAGGATTGGTCACCGAACACAAGGTCCGATAGTGTCAGGTATTATTTTAATCTACTTGATGTCCTTATGTAAATTTAAACTGAAGCAATCATTCTTGTTTGTGGATGGTGATCAAATGTTTTTATAGGTGGTCAATGTCTAGAAGATTACCCTCTCAAGTATAATAACGATTTTTTTTCGATTTTTAACAAATTTATAATATTTTACTATCAACTATACCTAAATAAAAATTTATGTGATTAAGTGTTTTTACTAAAAATTTAAGATTATGTAAAAGCTGTTATATGTTTAAATAGTATTTTCATTTAGGTAATTTATTACACACCAATGGACACAATATACTGCGAAAAATAGTTAAATTATACAATTATACGTACCTACTTCACTAGTCACGAATATTAGCTTTATTTATTATTTCTTAAATCTTATTAAATATACATATTTTATCAATATTCAATACTCTCTATTTTTGAGGAATTCGAGTTCATGTGCATTAAGCTATAATAGGCGTATAGATTTCCAATAATTAAATTAAAAATAATTTTAGGAGCGTTGAAAAATAAATGAAACAGATTTAAAATTACGTATATATTATACCATATAACATGATATACCTCATATTATACCTTCAAATTTTTTGTTTTTTTTAATTATTCGGGCAATTTTGATAAAATGAGTTGACATTTTAATTAAACAATTCATTTAATTTATTTTTCATTTAGAAAATAATTATCATCTACGATATTTGAATTTTTCTTTTTTCTTGTTTGGTGTAGTGTTAATGTAAAACGTTCCATGAGAATGATAATAATTACATTCTACTCACAAACCACTCCATATTAAAAATTATAAAAACGTTTGATAACAAAAATATTTACTATAAAATGTATTAAAACTTTCGTTAACAATAATAATAATATAGTTCTCAATTTTAAATAACATTTTAGCTAGTTTTGAATTTAAACGATTGAAATAAAATATAAAATAGGTAAGAAATATTTGTAGTTAACAAATTAAATTTTTTATAAATAAACAACATAATAAGTTGAAAATTAAAATTTTAATACATTAATTTTAATATTGTGTTAAAATTATTAATTTTAATGCAATACAGACATTTGATGGATAAATATTGAGTAGTATAACGATAACTTACTGCATTCCGACTATAATCAACACAAATGGAAACGAAATTTAGATTTTAAGTTAAATGATAACGGAATATTGAACGAATATATTTTTAGATTTTGAATGTCTTGAATGTGTGATTATTTTTCTTTTGTGTCTTCGACTACTTAAAGGATTGTTTCTGGCAGAAAATAGGATCTAGTTGATACTTTTTTTTCTTTTTTTTTGTGGGAGGCGGTTGGGTGAGTTAGGAAATTTATAGATGTATGGTATATTTAGCTATTTGGCATTTTATAGATTTAGTTTTTAATAAACTTTTTTTTTAATCAAAAAACTTTTACATGTAAGAAAAAAGTTCTTATAAGTTAATCTTATACCAATTTAAAATATCAAATACTTGTAATCACTTAGTTTGAAGGATACGTAAAATCACTAAAAATGATTTGATTTGATTTACATTTTATTGCAAAAAAAAACTATGGCCCAAATTAAAAAGAACAATTGTATGACTAAGTAGCATCGAGTATACAAGATCTAACAATTATTTTTAAAACTACAAAGTTCAATATTTTGAAATAAAATATAATATAAGAAATCAGTTTCATGTCAATCACCGATCGTACACAAGTATTGTGATACTTAGAGTTATAATTTCAGTCACGTTGTCAGGAGATGTTTCTGCAGACTAGATAATAATGATTGCGTAATATTGTTATAAGTGAATTCCGATCGCCTTGCAGCTCATTTTTCCTCAAAAAAGAAATATTACTACATATTTGTTTGTACATTGAGATGATACCTATATAATTCACGTATCCATAACACTTAGTACCACTTCTAAATAAATATAATTAGAAAAACATCGTCTATATTTTTTTAAAGAAATACAGTTTTGTTTCGTCAAAATTCAGTAATGTAGTTACTTTTATTTTATTTTACATACCCACTCAGAATATATACCCTTATAACACAAAATTGCTAAGTTAATGGTTAACTTGATTTTACATATTACACAGAGAAGGATTTATCTTTTTTACAGCTATAGGCTATAACCAAACCAACAATTTGTCACTCCTATAACAGGTGAACAAGTAATAATACCCTTTCTAAAATACCTACTTTTGGGTTAGGTTAGGGTATTAAATACCTACACAGTATTATAGTTGTATAAGAAAATCATTTAATTTAACTACCTTACTATCCTTGGTATAATTTAAAATATTTGTTTAGCACTTACCAGTTACCTAGGCACGTACTATCTTGCAGATTTGTAAAATACGCTCAGAACGGACACACCCCACGCGACACGTTGTTTCAAACACAGATAACGAAACAATATAATAATATTAATAATCAAGTTTTTGATTATTATTATCATTACAGTTTTGAGTTCATAATAACAGCATAGGATTGTCGAATTAGTAATAACGTGTGGCAGTTTTTGTATTTATTTTTCCCAGAAATAACAACGAAGTCGATCCCCGATAAGAATACTATTGATAACCATTGTTGTTTGATAAATTAACCATGAATGACAGTATGTATTTTTAACGTTGCGACGTGGGCTCTGGGTGGACTATACCAACGTGTTAAATATACTATTATCAAAAACTGTTTTCTATCTAGTTGTTTACTATATTCATAATAACTATAAATTAAAATGAACCAAAATAAATAGGTAAACTGTATACTATGTACAATATACAAAAATATAAAATATAACAAAGTACAAGCATTATTCATTCTTTTTCGAAAATATAAAGTAATTAATTTTCAATTTTTTTTATACGTTTGATGTTTTTTAATAAAATACTGCAAAATTTGCCGCCCTAAGCTGCTGCCTACAGTGTCTAATGGGCGATTGTCTATTATATTTATTTCAAAGTTTTCCCCCATTCCTGTATCAGAACGTTCTCAAGTCTCTAGGATGAGGTCACGAATAATTTGTCTTATGTAAACGTCTAATATCTTATTAATAGACCACCACTACCTGCATATATTTAAAGTACTCAATTATTCCTCCTAGTTAAAAAACAATTTTATTTCTATGATAGTAACAGATGAATTTACTTTTACTGCCTGATTCTAAAAATTGGCTAATAATCAAAACGGCTCACTGCAATAGTAATTTACACATTTTTGATTACCGACAGAGAAATTATCCTTTCATTATTTTGGCCACATGCGCCCGTCAAATTCAGGTCAATTACCCTTTGTCATTTGAATTATTCTATCCTCATCGACTATCGTGGATATTGAGCTCTTACTGAAATCGGTTTAACAGTACTGAATGTATGCAAGTTTCCAACAAATGTTGTAGAGTTAACAAACTTCCATTGTTACAGCAGACACCTACAACGATACGTACAATGCATTGGCGAACATTGAAACATCTTATTGTATATTGAATAAATGACGTGTGCTACCGTCTAAATGTGACTTATGTCCCAGTGCATAAAACCGCCAACCGTGAATTTTTTCCGTCATACAAAAATATTTATTGATTATCACAGCAAGAAGCAATACGTTAAATAAATTGATGATTCCTGGAGTTCCTCAATCATTAGGTTAGGTGACAGCGAGATAACAAAAAATATTATGTGGTACCAATTCTCAACAAAATCAATTTTGTTTTAGTGTTATAATTCAATAAAATATAACCGTAAATACTTGAAACATTCACTTAATATTTGTATTATTAACTATAACTGTATGAATGTTATAATATACTTTTCAGAATATTTTATTTTGGACCTTATTCCTATAAAATTACTGCGTATCTATTGTTTCTCACAGACGACGGCCAGTTTTCGTCATTTCGACTGCCTAAAATAAAATCAAAATCCAATGCATGATCGAATTCATGAACTAATTTCAATGCTCATGTGACCCAAAATAAAGTTGTGACCCATCAGTTGTAGAGAAATGTATCACTATCATAGCATTGATCTACTTAATGATGAGGTAGGTACATTCGAAACGTCATAATAAAGAACAATAGGTACAAGTTCCTCGTTATTATTGTAAATAGTATCACTAGTATGTTCTCATAACTTAAGCTACCACGATAACGGTCTATAATATCCTTATACTAACAATTTTCAAATTGTATAATATTGAATGAAGATTATAAATTTAGTATTCTAATTTAATAAAAATGAAGTAGGTACCTATCAATCGTGTATTCAGGTAAAAGTTTATATTATTACCTAAGAATTAAAAGTTAGTCTTAAATTTAAAATAAATTATAACCTAACCTGTTTAATGACGAGGCACACTCAAAAACTATTATACAGCAGAAGCGACTTCTCGATTTTTCCAGGTATTTCAATAACAGAATTATAATAACACGGCGTTTTGAATAGGCAATTTAGCTACATCGGTATAGTGGGTTCAGTTTTCCGGTATCTCAATATAAATGATGACACCATAATGATGACAGTTTTACATAGAGCTAAGTTCCCAAACTTTTTATGCTACACAATAATATCAATGACTTTTTCATGTGAACGAATGGAAAAAAAAATAATTTTCAATTGAAGAACAGTAGATTTATTTTCAAATTTGTATCAAGGAATTAATATTTTATTGTAGCAAGTAGTAGAAACACATCACACATGTCTAAAAAATGCACAGAATATAGAATTAACTGGATTGCTAACTGAGATACAGCACCTTTGTAATTGGTTGAAGCGACTGTCTGTCATTTTAATCTAGACCAATGTTCGTTATCACTCGTGTTTATGAGATGACAAAATAAATAATTTGTATTTGTAAAAATTATCTGTTTATTATCAAAAATAAATAGGTGTGATAAAGACTCCATTGGCCTCTTTTTAAATTGCGGATGATGCCTTCAAGTATTATTACAATTCACAGTTAGCAATCTAGTTTATTCTATATATTTGTG